GCTGAACTCAGCCGGCAGGACTACCGTTTCTCCTTCCATTGCCGTCACCGAGCTGAAGTTGGTGGTCACTGTTGGCACGGTGGCAGCAGCTATGCCGACAAATACAAAAACAGGTCTTCTTTAAACATTTGCTCACCAAACTAACATAATGATGAACCAAAGGTGTGTGGAAAATGCGTTTGTCATTGCAAATAGTGAGTACACACTACCAAAATATCAAGTGACAAACATTGAATCAAAAGTTAACTCAGAATCCGTGTATGGTATATTTTTTCTTCGTACCTCTTTTCTACTTGATAGGAGCATCATGCTCAGAATATTTCAACAATCTGAAGAAGAGGTAATTTAGTAACCGACCTAACTTGGCAAAGCCCTTGGGGATTCATACCTACTTACAACTCAATGATAAGAGTGGCGTATCTAATTTACACACTTGTTATTCCACGAATCACCTTCGCAACACATTTCAGATGCTTAACTTGTATGGCCATCCTTTGCCAGGAAAGTGTCTGGCGAACTACTCAGCAGCCAGAATCCTATTCAATGTTCTAATGCAATATCCGTGCAGAGGTCGCCCCTGTAACTATAGATGCGTTTTGGTACGCTTTGCTGGCTCCCCACGTACAGCCCACACTATCTTTTCAACACGCTCTGAGCACGATGTTCAATTTTCTTGCCAACTTATGAAAATTTAATGTGCAATCTTTTCATGATCTAAAAACTTTTTGCTACTCCCCTTCACGGATTGTTGGTTTCGTGTTCAATTTAGTTGTTGTTACTAGTATTTGACAAGGAGACAGATTTTCGACACATGTATCTCTGAATACTAGATTGCGTTCACTCTCCTATCCAGTCTTTAGGTTTGTGCCTGTACTCTACCATAGTAACGAAAAAAGGCTTTCGTCTGATCAGTAAAAGTCAGAGGCATCAATTCCAACAAAAATGCAACTATAGTACGTGTGAATCATTTGAAGTTTCCATTTAGTGGACGTGCTAGTTACAAAATGCCCAGTCACCATGTCATATTAGTGATACGTGATTCGGAGCAAAGACACACTGCACATATACGGATATGATGTTGCCAGAGTAATTCCACCCTCCTGTGATGTATTTCCAAACGGATTTGCTTACCTTTTGACTTCCATTGCAAGAACGTCGTGGTTGATAGCAAGCACACCAAGAAAGATGCCGTCGTCATTGAAGTCATTGGAGATGCCGTCAGTTTCCTCCACTGATCCTAAATGTAAACGCTGTGAGCACGAAACGGAAGAAATACATGAAGCATAATTCACAAGACGGCATATCTTCTATCTACGCTTTCACATTTACTGTGTAAACCTCCAGGCTATATGATTTAGACTATCACGTCACAGAGAAACAGAAATCACCGCGATGCGTTAACCAAATCTCCTGTTGATCAGTCGGAGTTAACGTGGGAGTAAATCATCCGATATCTGCCACAATACACTGTGAACTTTACAGCGTATGATAAATGTTCTTTGGCGTCCACTGCTAGGTGTAATACTTTCGCGGACGCTTAATAAGCAATCACCATCTTTCTGCCCAGCACATATCGTGGAGTACTGGGAATAAAGAAATTGTGCCAAATGAGTTAATGTGATTTGTATTTCCCCAGGCTTGTGTATGATGGATGTATACTAGAATCGAGGTGCCAGTCGGCTTAAAGTTGGCATAAATTTAGTCTCCCCTGCCAAATTATCTCACAGCGAAAGTTAAATAGTCATCACATTTTTTTAAATTTCAGATATGAAAAGTTTGCTTACTTAAATCCCACTGTGAGACAAATTTGTCTCGGACACACTCTGATTAATATTTCAGTACCTAAAAGGTAGTATCTAAGCTTGCAATGTCAACTGTTTATTACCAATCTATTAGACAATCTTATACCTGCGAAGATTCTGATATTGGAATTGGGTGTTGAATTATTTATCAGATGCTGCACTTAATTATTTTCGGTTGAAGTTTGCATGAAATCTGCTGAATTTACAAAACTTGCTCGCTGTAATCAACAGGGTTAAAATCAATAAGTTAAAATGACTCTGTACTGTTAGGCATGTAGCAAAAGACCATGTGGTCTGAAATTGTAAAACATACAACAGGGTAGTAACTAAATAAGGTATTTATGTTATTATTTATGAAAAATGAATCAAATTTTTAAGCAAATATTTCCAATTTTTAAGATGGCATTTATGATAATTTAATCCATCCGACAATTTTTCACAACGTTTCTTCCTAGAAATTATGTGCGATATTTCCCAGTCGACTAGCCATGACATCCAAACAGAATAAGGCCCAATGCAGCTTTTCCCCATAGCTACACGTTGTTTTATGTGTTCTCAATGTTCAGATATTGGTTAAAATGTTGAGGTCTCTTCATAGTAACGAAGATCCAGCTTCAGTGATATGTCGTTGTCATTGTCGCACTTCTACTCGTTGTGATTGCCAATTAACATGGAATTCGCATCTCAGCATTTTATACATGCCGCTGATTTATACCTGTTGCTACGTGTACTTACTAATGCATTTACAGCAGAAAGTACACTTTTTGACACCGCTTCCGGCAGTCTGGCAGCCAATAAATTCAAAGCAGATCTAGACAGCAGATGTTGTTTTGGAGCCAGAATGTGGCTGTACATAAACCTTTCGACCCTATGGAACAGAAATGGCCAAGAGGCTGACACGGTGGCTTGTTAGGCAATCTTGTAAGCCCAAATGTCGGAGACGGGCTCCCATTGAGAGGTCTAAATCATCGTGAAATTGCTAGAATCACAACGGCTGTCGTAGCCAATGGATTTTACTTATAGCTTGTGACCAAGACGCCATATTGATTTATTGAACTTGAAGGCCTCAAGTGTTTCGTCAACCCCCTTTACTAACATATACATGGTAATCAGACGCCACTCGTCTTCAAAATGACAAGAAAGATGGTTTGTTGAATCAGGCATTTCAAGGTTAGCATCGCCAGAAGTACAAAGAATAGCTAATGAGCGCGTCTGTCAGCTTAGATGTTACACCAGGGCATCGCAGGGCCATTAGCGTAAACAGAGAATCGATACACAACACCGATGAATAGGCCACACACGTCTTCCAGTGCAACGCCTTTTAGAAGATATTAGATGCAAACATCATTTCATGGTGGCGCCAAAGAGGAATATGTGCATGAGGCACCTTCAAGGAGAAATCCCAAATGTGAATCAAAATTACCGTCTTTTTAATATTCTTCCACAGGTAATATGAACTCCGCACGGTACCAGACACATTAATTAAAATGTTCCAGTCCATAGACACGCTGCTTTATATATTGTGGTGTCTGTACATCTTATATAAGTTCAAAGCTGCTTGCGAACAGCCAAATGCATTGCCATCTCTCTACGGACCTGCGGTGGAAAATGTAGCTCCAGATTGAAATTACACACATTGTGGACACGATGAGTGCACCGCAATAACTACGAGAACAATACCTGGAAAGCTGCCACTGCTCAGCCGTTTAGAAAGCTGCGAACTCTACATCAGTGCCAACGAATTCAAATCAAGGGTATTAAGGGATCTGTAATTGCAAGTGTGTAGTCTTCCGTGATTGATGTCAAGAAGAAGCAAGGGCTCACCAGGGGGCCATAGGCGCACAGGGCCCTACCCTCTACATTTACCAAACACTTACTGATAAACACATGTACATGTCACTTTATATTTGACGGAAATGGCTAAAATGGGCATACTAGCAGAGCAAATAATTATACAATCGAGTGTTTTTATGTGCATGCATTATCGTAAACTAGACCCAAGGAAAAAGGGGTTATGATAATGGCTATAACTCTTTTACATATGGTTGAATGTATTACCATATTGAACGATATGTCCGTGTATATTGCAAAAGACCCAAGACCCACTAATAATTGTTGGCCTTTTTTGGTAATACACGATGGTGATACGTACGTACACATTGATTAAACATTTAACAAATTTCTGTAACATTTGGGCATAGATATCCACAGATAGAAGCTACTTCTGACAACCAATAGTACTTCCTATGTTTTCTAGAAGTGTTTCATCATAAATGCATGTATAGTACTTGGCCATGAGATGTCAATACAAAATCCATTTTCAGGAATGAAGACTTACACACGGTTCACTCCAGGTCATCATCGATTTTTGTGTTTGTTGATTTTCTCTCCTGTATATTGTATGGTAATTTCCAACAAGGGTCATTAGAGATGTGACGTCATGGGCCCATAAAATCGTAATTTCGCGCCATCTTATTAGTATGTCATTCATAAAGCCGTCAAAAAATAATTCGTCATTTAGCTTACACCAAGCGTTGCACACTGCTCAGGCAACTGTATATACATAGTCCTGCAGATTGCCGTGATAAAGGTATATTAGACCTGTAGTGCTGATATGCCTCCTGCTGTAAACACATGACCTGCACAACAGTAAAGCGTGACTTTCATCAGCACTAGCGTCACGTAGGGCAGTGGGAAGTTTCATTCTGCTTCTGCTGTATATTTCCTGAGGGAACAGTATAACGGGGCTGGAAGTCGTAAATGCCAGCTGTCACCGAACGCAACATCATCCAAGTGTGCTGCATGGTCACTGTTGTTGGTAGCTGCTCGACAGAAAAGCATTACTAAGTTACCGGCTTATTATCATGACAAGAATTGAGAAAACTGTCACAGAAATCGTAATGGTATTTGATTATTAAAACCTGATATTAAATTTCCTTAATATATGATATACTTGAAGTATAACGTTATATGTGATCTTTCATTAGCAAATACGTCATGTTATTGAATGGACCCGTGAAGAAAGTAATAATAAAATTATAAGCTTCCACTTTGTCAATGAAACAACATGGTTAGACAACTCTGACTCTTTTGCAGTGTCAAGAAATCTTCCAAGGTCGACAGGCTTGGACGAGTGACACGTTTGGGTAATCAGGTTCAGATCAAGTGACCTCTACCATCGAGAGGTCAAAGGTGGTTGTCAGACAAGGGTCAACGTTTTAGCGGCGGGAAGTTCGAACGTGAGTCTATATTTTATCTTGACTCTGTAAGTATAGTTTGACAAGGTTAGGCATAGAAAGGTGTGTTAAGATGTAATTTACCAGCCTCATGCTATTATGCATGATGCAGGTACGAGGTAAATCCTGTTAGTAGGTGTAAATTACTGTTGACAGTTCCCGTGTCGAGAAGACGATGCCCCCCTCCCCATGCACGCACGAAGATGCTTCCAGTGGCCCTGGTTCCGATTTCTTATCATCTAATCAGAGAATTACATTTACTTTTGATAGCTTTGGCAGCGAACAAGTTGCACAAGGCACACAGTTAGTTTTAGAACTTGGAAGCGAGAAAACCGGGGTGTTGGACACAGCTACGTATACACGGGGTCAAAGGTCTTTAAATTTGTAAGCCCCCTGATACTCATATAATGTAGCACAGCATTCCAATGCATCTATCGGTCATTATAAAAACAACCTCTTGTCTTAGAATTGAATTATGTTTCTTAAAGTGTACATTTTTGCTCCATGGATGTTGATAAACATTGAGAAAGTGTTGTCTCAACTATCGTGACTAGAATATAGACTTTGGAAAGTCTATATTCTTGTCTTGCATTGGGTGCCTGCATTGGGTGCCTTTAGGGATGAACGTGTAAGAAGAAATTTTTGCTCATACGCTTTGACAGCGTTTATTAGATAGCATATGCTGTAATAAGAAAAGATAATCCTCAAGCCGACTTCCAGGACCTTTTGTCAGACTTGATTGGTACCCCCTGCCGTCTCTCGTGCAGGGGTTTAATTGGAATTATTAGAAACTCCCTAAGAAACATACAATTTCCTTATCGTGCACTGGGTGGGCTGATTTTACGCCGGGCTTACCGCAGGATATTGCAATTTCTATTGAAGACGTGAAGTACACGTTAATGCCACCGGCTAAGATAAGGCATGATTTTTCCTTCAGTGGAAGCCCAATAACTCACATTTGGCTCACTGTGTAATGTATGCAAAATGAGTGTTGAAGAATACTAATTATCTTGATGAACATTAAGTCAGTATGGTTGCTGGAAATGATTTTACTATGTTAGAATATCATGTTTTGGATGGTACATCCTATTCCATTGAAGAAAAAAAATAGGCATCAATGTATTGTATTCTTGTTACTACTTTGTTACTAGATTCCACCAGCCGGCACTCCACCGAGACGGGGGGCGATATCGCTTACCAGGCATTTGCGATTCATTGCTTGAGTCACGTGTCTCTCAGGTCATGTGCTCATGATTGGATCACTCCACTCCTGAAGAAGGCCAACTAATGTGAAAATTTGAGGTGAGCAACAGTCTGATTGTGTTGAACTAAAGAACAAACTTTTTTCATGGAATGTACCAAAATAGATGAGTTTCATGCCAATTGTTACTACTTATTCATTCGTTTCTGAACTGAGAAACTCTGCTTCTCATGCGTTAAACTGAAATGAAGCCTTTGAAATGAGCTGCGCGTAAGGATGATAATTTGGACATGCCAAACCTAGTCGGTGGCAAAGAAATTCCGGCTGTTATACTGAAGCAATTCAATTACGTGTTTGACGGCCTGGTTGAATTCTCGGGCGGGAGAAAGAAAGAGAAAGACAACACCACCTTGACCTGAAAGTAGCTCGAACTTATGGTAATTTAATACAATATTCCCGACTGGGAATATTGTATTAAATTTGCTTGTTGAAGACGGCTCTGGTCTGTATAGAATTGCATGCATTCATTTCTTTCCGTGGCAGTTATCTTGCCCCTTGCCAGTCACAAATGCAGCGCTGTGAATGAAGCTGTCAGCGTGAGTTAAAGTCAGACGATCGATCCATGTTGTTTATCGCCGCGCGTTGAACAGTTCACTGTTTCGTTGGACTTCACGTCTTTTGATGCCAAGCAGGCCCTGCCGTCACTTTTCAATGAATAGTCGTTGCTTGAGCGCACGGACCAGCGAGCTGGAGATAGAATTAGCGAGCCGCCAGCCGTGTGCAGTCGCTGGTGCAAATAAATGAATACGTATATTCTACACGGGACAGGTTCAATCCTACCCGCGGGGAGTGAACGGCTCATCTTCTCCTGATGTTGGAGAGGTCTTCCATCACCGTAATGTGGTACATACAAGCGCATGCCTGCGGCGATTTAGGATCGATACCCAATTTAGGCGCCTATCAGTATAAAACCCTCATGGTGTGTGAGGTCTGGGCAGTCGTGGAAGGGATAGAATCTCGTCACTCGGGATTCATCCGTTTGCCCCCACGACTACACAACAATGCATGCTGGTATTCAAAATGGCGGTCTTTAATTGACTAGCAGTGGCCGTTGTAAACGGGGAGTTTTACACGCGCATAAACGACATATATTCTCAGATAACTTGTCCAATAAACTCTAATAGACAGATGATTAGTATACCGCTAATAGTCAACCCGTTAGCCATTTTATCTCTGATGTGTTTATAGTAGTACCAATACTGTTGCTCTTTAAATTTTCTCTGGAATCGACAAAGAGAATTTAAAATCAGGTAACACATACATAGAAAATACAGCCATATTAAGTGCCGTCACCTTTGTTGTTTATATTCTTTAAAGTAATAGGGGCACATGAGCAGTATGTTATCTGATAAAACATAACCAAGCGCCATAAAACCGTATTGGTAAACCTTTGTATACTTGGGTAGCGTAGTGTCTCTAAAGTTCGTAAGTACCTTAACTCAAAAGCAATGAGAATGGCAGAAATATAATGCTATCTTGTTTGTCTAAAGATATTACGGCGACGTAGATGATGATGATAATTTGATTTAACGATCCTGAAGATAAATGGCACATACTCTGGAAGTTTTTAGCATGTCAGGACGTAAATGGATATATTGGATAGACACAGTTCAATAACTCTATAGATTGGTTCTACCATCTGTCACAGGGGCGTAGTAAATAGAATTACCTATAAGACATGGGAGGGTACTAACCAAGTTACGTCTTTTATTGTCCTAACCGAGTTCGGTAATACGATTTGTCTGTCGACTCTTTGCGGGTTTTAAGGACGACAGACGAAGTGTCTTCTGACAAGAATACTGTTTAAGGTTTACATAATAGAGAAACTATCACAGGACATAGACTTTATCTCTGATTCAGGCTTCTATAGTAGATTACAGATAAATCACATAATATCTAACTGTATATATATATGTATAAGTACAGTCACATAAAGTAGGACACGTCTCCAAGTATTATTCAGGGCTATATTTTCTTGTCGGTAAAGATATGGGCTTAGTGCAATTTAAAATTCTGAATACTTCAAAAGACTGACGTAGCAGATATTCTATTTTACGATTCTGAACATTCTGAACATCACTGATCTGACTATATCACATATTGGTTTCACAATAACATCTTTGTGGTAACTGTATACTTTGAAGGCTATATGTTGTTGATCTCTGAAGATATTCTAAAAAACTCAGGCAACTGGAAAAGTAACTTCTAGTGGCTGTCCGTACGGGTATCACATTCTAAGACTAAGGACAACTGACGTTTGGCCTTGGTCCTGCATAGTTGCAGTCAGTTCGAGTGTTCTTAGTTTGTCGAAAAGTGACTCCATGATAGGCTGAGTTTTCCGAGATGTTTCATATAACGTCCAAGCGAAAGTAAAATAGCGTATCAATAGGTTGTGCAAGTCATATGCTTTCTCACACCTGAGTACTAGATAGAACAAGCAGCTCGAAATACATGCCGGGAAAAAGGAGTCAAATTTGGGTGGGGAAGTAACCGACAAAATTCTTGATTCTGCAGCTGCATTGCCTGAACATGGCCGGAAAATTTTAATAATACCAAGTGAAAACAACAACAGGGTAGTACCTACCTTACAAGACCGCGAGCGGCTTTATACAGTCTAGCCTTTAACAGCTGCAATTTCCGTAGCCTTACGCTCATGCTACCAAGATACCTCCTATATAGGACTCACTAAGACGGTCTGCATGTTGGGCAAGGGTTCTTAATCATTCAGCCTAACCGCCGAGATAATATATGCAAATGGACCGCTTATGTCTCTGCGATCTGACTACCTCCCACACGGTCCGCAATCGCCCATTAACGTCAAGTCCAACGCCTGGCGCGATTTCAAATGTCCCACTCATGGATTGAACTCAATTTCAGAAGTCTGTGAGGCTTCGAAAGTGGTGTCATGGTCATATCAATGAAATACTTTTTATCGAGCTCTTAGCCAGAACGCCTTTATTCTCATGATGAGTCCGCTGCGTGCATAATGTTTCAGTCTTTCATCAAAGGGGCGATGGTCTTTCAAGCCGCAAGACATTGATGCAGCCATGTTTTCTCACACACCACTACCATTTGCGTTCATTTACACTATGAGGCACGCTCCATGCGTGTTTTTCTGTGCCATATCCATGTCTATTGTAAAGGATTCATGGTGCCATTAGCTGCTTGACAGCAGTCTTAACCTTAGAACAACCAGTCGCTGATGATCATTTTGTACTGACACCCCCTTATTCCGTAAATTGCTTCTGCTGCTAGTTTCTGAGCTCTACCGTGGGCGCACTCTGTGTGGATAGTGAGTATAAGCTCGCACATGGTGAATAAAGTGATAGGAGATGGACCTCATCACGGAACATACCGACACAATCTGCTGCCATCCGGATTCGACACGCTTCAACTCTGGCCAACAATGGGTGTGGGAGTGAGGCAATCTCTGCTGAGCCCACTTATTATTACACTTTCCTTGGTGCTGAAGGCGTGGTGGTTGTACTGCTAGTACGTGTTCTTTTGGTCATCCCACGCGTAGACCTTTTAGGATTCGGCTATTGAGATCATTAGGAGTGCAAAGGTGTCAGAAGGAGCTTGCCTACCCGGCAGTTTGGTTGCTTACAGTGAATGTATGTATATGAATGGTTTATAGAATAAAAACAAATTCGACAATGATAGAAAACCAACTTTTCAATAGAAAGTGTCTAGGCAGTGATTTAGTTTTGGTACTAACAGGCAATCGTTATCGCTGTAAATGAATTCCTGCATTTGGGATTAAAACTGACATTTCTTAGTAAATTGCAGGTAATGAGTTTTCAATCTCACGACGGCATAGCCCATCATCGCCGCTGACTACTGCAAATGTCACAAGTGAAAAGGATGAATTATCATCCACAACAGCCAAAATTGGATCAATAATGTATCAGCCTCTAGGATCGCATTACTACCCTAAGCAGGAAGAAATTTACTACACGCGTTGGCCATTTGTATACAACCAACGATGATAAGATGTTGCGGTCTCACATTTTTATTACAGGAAGGAAGTAGACGATGTTGACTTCAGAGAAAAGTATAATCTTTTTCTGCTTGGTATACAATACAATACAATACAATACAGTACTACAACGGTTTACTATACGTACAGAATCTACTGAAATGTCTAACTTTATAATGATATAGGTTTCGGTTCTTTGGCTATACAGTATTGGCCTCACGTTCTACCACCGCCCTATTATGTATATTCAGCACTTTTGCAACTAGGATATGAATAGTCGAGTCCTTTATACACCATGGAAGACACTATTACGTGGATAAAACTTATACTTACCGAAATCACACAAATACATCCACTGGGCACAATACCTTCTGCTGACAACCTGTGCGAAGTAATCACTCTATACGTCCCCGGGATATGTCCAGCACGTTTATAGGGTCACAGTCAGCAGATTGTGTCCCTTACCTACAGCTTGATTTGCGATCTCGTAAAAATGAATGTAATTATATTCCGCAAAGCCTGATTGGCCGGCCGGACAAATCACCAGCGAAAATACGTGCGTCATAAAATCAATGATTGGAATACTAATCGCCACACACCAGTATATCATATTGCACAGCGTCCGATGAACTGAGCCTACAGGACACTATAATGGCGAAATGATAAAGACAGCCTGCGGTCTTTATATCCTATCGAATTAGACCCACCCTCTTCTGAAACCCAACGTCGTGATCAATGTAGGAATAAAACTCATTATTCGGCGTTAGTTCTTAATTCAAATGGCCATTTCGTATCCACAGCAGCGAATATATACGGTCAAGTTCATTAGCAAGAATGGAGACGTATGATGCCATTAAAGGAACATTCTCGTCGAAAGAAATGCCACTACATTATTCAAGGTAACCTTTAATCAATACAGTGCAATCAGAATGTCGGTAGATATGTTGAGGTTTCCATTGACCTTGGTAGGTTGACCATTCTGTCGCCACATCGTAGCTACAGCGCGCAGTCATAGTGTTCTGCTACGAAAAGAGTCGCTTTCAGAAACCAGAGCATCGCCTT